TAATATACTCGAAACGTGAAGAGCATCCCAAGATCCCACTAACGAATATTCTCGTTTTCAGATACGAAAAGTAAAACGGATTGCTCACGTGTAATTGGAGAGCGGTGCCTTGAGATGCTGCGGAAGTCTTTCGAAGTAATGTCGGAATTCCTCGAACTCGGTGTCGGCCATTCTGCGGTGAACCAATGAAAAAACACACGGCGTGGGGTCGATCCTGAAGGCGGCCGTGACGGCCTGGAGGAGAGCTGCTCGTCGACCCCCGGAAAGTAGAGGCAAGATGTCGCTCGCGTTGGAGACGACGATGGCCGAGCACCAACGCTTCGACGCCGCTCGTGACGTCCCCATATTGATTCCTGCGTGGTGGGCGACGCGCATCCGATGATTTTCCGTGAACGCGCCGCCAGGAAATCGAACGGGAGAAGCCGAAGTGGCTGAAACGCCTTGGCCGCAAACGTATACGGTTGCCCGATTTAATATTTCAATCGGGGCGACCCGATCGTCACGACTCACTGCGCCACCTCGAAACGGGCACAACGAAAATATTGATACACTTCCTACGATCTAGAGTCTCGTACGCTTGGAGAGGGTGGGTGAAATATACTCTTCAGAGCAGAGGAAAAACGAGGATGAATCGGTTCGGCCGAGTCTCTCGTGTTAACGAGAAGCCTTTTAACGAGTCTCATGCTATAAATTGAGAGGAGTAGAATTTCGTTTATACGAGTTTATCTCGGGGATAGAGCAATTCGAATAAACTCTCGTCTCCATTTTAATTCTGATAATAGAAATGGATATTGAAAGAACTGTATAGAGGATGTTTGTATTATGACGACTATATGCATATGTATATAGTATATGAACTATAAGAATTCAGTAAAATAGGAAAATATATATATATATATGTTTCACAATAAGATTTATGTCGATTGTTTCGTTTATCAAGGAGACTGAAATATTAGATGTATTTTAAGTATTAGATTATAATTTCATATATATTTTTAATAAGCAAATATCTGTAATTTATATTTTTGGATTATAATTTTTTAGATATTTTAGATATAGAGAGTAGAAGGAAAAGAGCAATAGTTGATAGAGACCAGTCAGAGAGAATAATTAATACCGGTTGATCGAGTTAAAGAAGTTCAGTTTAGACACAGCTTTTACACAATTGAATGATTTTGCGTTTCTTCGCGATTTCTTGAATCAAAATCTTCAATCTCTTTAAAGTTTAGTTATTTACTTATGTAGAAATGCTCAACAAGAAGAGTACATGATTTGCATTGCATTGGATCCGCGCCAAAATTAAATTGGTTCGAAAATCTGCCTATAATAGAATCACTATTCGTAATAGCATCATTTTCAATTTATTCGATGTAAATGAGATATTTTTTTTTTCCAGTTCTTAATTTTCATTCATTCTTTTCTGTAAGTAACTTCTTTGTTCGAATCAGTAGCCCACTTATTCGTGCTAAGAGCACGATCCGAAAGGATCTTTCTCTCGGCAAACAACGAATACCTATCATCTTGTTCTTATTTACTTCTTCTTCTACTTTTCGCTAATCGATTAAATCCTTTAAAAAGGTCCATTTAGTAAGAGAATTTAAAAAAAAGTTGGAATTTAATTTGATTAAATTTGATTTGAAACAGAAGAAGAAATGTATTTTTAAAACAGTGAGTCTTTTTTTTTTCTTTTTTTTTGAGTATTAATAAATTTAAAATTTAAAGATAAAGATATTAGAAAATTGTGCAAAAATATACATAGATAATGCACAGCTCGATAACCTTTCCAAGAATATTTATAGAAAAGAAGAAAGAACGTGTATCGACCAATTTGATGTGCAAACTTGCCTGAAAAAATAATAGTTATATCTATAAGAAAAATTATATCTAAATTTCTGAAGAGAATATTTTATTCTCTGTAGAAAAATCAAATTTCTATTTCATAATTCAACAATGTCTCGAACACTTTATTTGCAAATACAATGGAGACATAAATTACGAAAGTGCTCAACTTTGTGCTGAAAGGATGATAAGATAGGAGATATCATATTTCGTAGAACCTCTTGTAAATGAGAAATGAATTTCAAGATGCGGGTACGACTCAAGAGAAGTCACAATTCAATAATATTTTTGTAAAATTATAAATATATTACAAAATTCTTATTATTATTTTAACGTAAGTTTCGATTAATTCTTCTTGAAAATTCAAGATCAAATTTTCTCATATTAATAAACTCGTATTGTAAATAAAGTAATTAATTTTCAATCTTTTACAGATTTCGACACAACAATCGAAATATATTGAAAGCCTATCTGCTGGACGATTGATCATCTTCAACAGAACAATACAGAATCTCTTGATCGATCGATTAAAATATTTATTCCCTATTTATCGATACATTTATCATACATAAATGTAATTTCAACGCGAAAAAACGATTGAGAGACTGGCAGACTCGGCGATAAAACATCCTCTCCGCTGATCGAACGATATTCTCAATTCTCTTAATGCCACAGGAACGCTCGGTATAATTCAGCAAGGGTGGTAGCTGATAGTGGTAAGTGATGGACATTGGTAATGTGCTGCATCTGCTTTGCCACGAGCGTAGTCGGGGCTTTTATTAAACACGCTCTTTGTTCCGTGGAAAAAGAAACACGAAAGCGGGAACGATTGTCTTTCTAAAGAAGAAAGAAAGGAAAAAAAAAAAAAAAAAAAAAA